AGCGGTGCGGGGCGAGCTGTCAGGCGGGCGCGGGCAGCCCCGCTGCGAGTTTCGGGGCGGGGGTGGGGGGACATGGGGACGTGCGGGAGCCGCGTCTCGGGGGAGCAGCGCTCTGGCCAGCGGGCGGTGGAGGGACTGGTCCCCGCCGTTCCCGTCTCCCTCGTCAGTCAAACAAATCAATTATAAAAAACCCACGTACGGCACTGGGGGTGTGTGTGTGTATTGCGGGGGGGGGCTGGTTTCTTTGTTTTCAAGGAAAAGGCCTCAGAGAAGGAGTCGAAGGTGATACGCCTCCATCAACAAAATGAGTTAACCCCGGAAGGGGGTGGTGGTATTTATTTATGTCTTCTGCAGAGTTTCCTCTCGGTGAATTTATTTCACTCTCTGCTCCGTAAAAGCGGCTTTAAGTCGTATGATTATAAGATTTAGGTGGCACGATGCCAGCAGTTCAGAAGATGTTACTATAAACATCTAGGCATAGGTAACTTTCATGCGTGTTCGGCAGAGCCGCGAGCATGCCGGCCCTTTGAGTTGCAGAGGGGAATGAGCCAGATTATTAATTTATACTGCCATAAAGCTTGCTGTGTTTTGACAGTTGGTTCAATTAAAGCTTACAACAGAATAACAACTACAGTACTATTAATGGCGTTGAGGAACGCAAGAAATAGAAAAGCTTCAGTCTGCCAGAGGATGGCCAGGAAGTGTGCATGTGTTCATCGGTGTATATGTTAAAAAGAAGATACTTAGTTGAGTCACAGGCTTTTAAGGTTTAGCGTTAACTTTTTGATGCTACATCTGATCCCAGTAGGCAGTAGTGTAGAACTAATGCGCCTTGCCCTTATAGAGAAACTGGACATACCTGTTTATCTCATTTCACCGGCAAGGAATATATCAATATATTTGCTTCATCAGAACTCTAGCTCTAGAGTTCAGCTAGTTCATCTCTAGCTGATGAAATTAGAGAATTTATATTCTCAGCAGCTGGTTTAATCATAGCAATCTGATTTATACTGTTTTTCCTTTTTAATCATTGACAGATGCATTTAGTGGTAAAAGTCAAGATGAAAAAATAGGCTATGAAATTATGAATTTTAGCTGATGGAAGGTTTTTGACCTCCAAATTTCATTTATTTCTCTAAGCAGACTTTTTCAAGAATGCTGATTTTGTTAGGATGTGTTGGATTAGAGGAATAAAGAAGAAGATTTACTGCAATATGGCTAGGGCTTTACTAAAAAGTAGTAGAAAAACATGTACAAAAATAAACCATGACAAAACCAATATGTGTGTTTTATAACATACTACACTAAAAATATAGCACTCTCTTAATTTGATAAACAGATTCATGTATTCCAACC